TAACTGCCACCTAATTATAGTCCGTTGAATCCGTAACAACCACGTAAGTGTAGCATTACTCATTTATTTGTGGGGGGGAAACATTTTTCCCTTATGACGTCTCTCACACCGATGCAATTATCTGTAAGAAGTGGACTTCCAAACAGTGTCAACAAAGGGCTATGCAGTATTTGTTTTTGTATTTTTACCATAGTTTCCTAATGTCCGATCAATAACTGCCACCTAATTACAGTCCGTTGAATCCGTAACAACCACGTAAGTGTAGCATTACTCATTTATTTGTGGGGGAAAAACATTTATCCCTTAGGCTAGTCATAGTGGGGAGTAATTTAGACTAGTAACATGCATATGTTACTAGTCTATGTTACTACCTTCATAGTGGGAAGTAACATATATGTGGTATCATACAAGCCATCATTTATTAAGATGTAGACTCATTTTGTCTTGGGATGTGTTATGTTACAGTAACATATTATCTTACTCTAACCATCTCTCTCCTCATTAAATACATGCCATGTAAGCAAAGTTTTCTTGGGGGTGTGTTATGTTACTTGCTAAGTTACTCCCACTATGACCAGCCTTATGACATCTCTCACACCGATGCAATATCTGTAAGAAGTGGACTTCCAAACAGTGTCAACAAAGGGCTATGCAGTATTTGTTTTTGTATTTTTACCATAGTTTCCTATTTTTGTTGTCATTTTCAATTGTCTGAAAATAAGTATTTCTTGCGAATTAATGTACCACTCACAATAATTTATCCATGATAAAAAAGGTAAATTCTCTTACGATATTTCCTTTGATGATAGTTAAGCGCCTGTGTAGTACAATTGGCCAGTGAGTTGGGCAGGAAGGATGAAATAGGTGAACAACACTCTCTAACTATTGCCTCTCGATTGTAACCTTATTTTTATAGAATAAAACTCTTTTATTCTCGCAAAAAAAAGATAGCTAGAAACGTAGAACGATGTCCCGATGAGCATGAGCACATCTTGTTTTATTTGCCGAGTCATGGATTCAAGCACATTTTTGTATATACACGGCTTATTCCAACTTGCTGTAACCGGTGAACTAGTTACTCAGGACCATCACCGGCCGGCCAAAGGCTAATGATACAATGACGATCTACTCGCTGAACTGGAAACACGGTAGTATTCCGATTTTAACTCCACATGCTGATAACATATTGACGATCTAGTCGGAGTAGCTTTATTACTGGGCTTCCGATCAATTTATTACTGGTGCTGTGTCCATCCACACACTTCATCATGGTAGTGCATTCTTCATGCTCCTCGCATATGCCTCTAGCCTTTTCAATCCTTCTCTGGGCGAAGCTGCTTCACCCAACTGCCTCACCATCGCACTGCCAATGATCACCCCATCCGCACCCCATCCTGCAATCTGTCCATGTGCATTGATGTTTGTAATTACAGCTGTGGATCTTGTCAGCTCCTGGGACAAAATTTAAATGGTGACCATTTTTTTTACCTGCTTTACGTGTTCAGGTTTTGATATGCCAAAGCCAACAGCAACAGGTTTGTCAGTAACCTGCAAACAGCACAAACACATGGTCAGTGACTGAGAATTACTAAGCAGCCATCTAGACTTCATTCCTTGGACACTAGATCACGTGTATAAATTATAAAATAATAGTAATACAGAAGAATTTTACGGTAATTTTTTTTGTCTTCTTTCAAATTAAACACGTACCTTTTTTATCTCTTGAATGAGGGACTCAACCCGCAGGTTCACGTTTTCACGGGGACCTGTAACTCCATTGACGCTCACCTGCGCAATACGGTTAAGTTGGAGAATGCAGTGTTAATTAGGAGCTGGTAACTTTAAATGAACGGGGTGGATTGCATGTGCTGAAATCTACCAGGTAAATGAAACCTTCCGAAGCTTTCGTGATTCCCTTCATTCTTTCTTCTGGTATGGCTGGTGTTGTGAGCAGCACCTGAATACATCAATTGTATATCAGATTGATAGACCTTTCCTACTTTCTGGTAGTGCGATATCTATAGTGTATGGAATTTGAAAATGCTAGCTTGCTGATGAATGACACATAATGGAAATACCAGCTCGAGGTTGTTCTTCTTGGCTTCACTCCATAATGCATGCGCGGCTACATAAGGGAGATCAGGCACTATAAGACCTGGGAAGGAGATGTACATAAGATCAAGAGAAACTGGATCAGTAGTAGCTCCTGTACCTGCATGCCAAATTGTGAATATAATCATCAAATGAAGAGAAAAGGTTACCTACCGTGTACACCGGCTTCTTTGATTTCGGCCAACCCTCGACATAAGATAGGCCTGTAGTACGAGAAGAGCACCACAGGGCACGACAGCTCCGGCGTCACCTCCTTGAGCATCGCCAGCACGCCGTCCATTGTGGCACCGCCAGCGAGAGCCCTCGCACTCGAAGCCTGGATGATCGGACCGTCCACGTAGGGGTCGGAGCACGGCACGCCGAGCTCAATGACGTCGGCGCCACAGGCATCCAGGAGATGCAGCGCCTCTGCCGTTGTGGCCAGGTCAGGATCACCGGCGGTGATATACGGGATGAGCGCTGTCTACTCAGGGGACATCGACCCCAATATCCGGTCAGAGTCCACACGTCCGTTACATGCAATGTACAACACATGTACGCACATAAGCACGCACCTTGCCCTTAGCCATGAGCTTGGCCATGGTGACCGACACGGGCCGGCTCCTCACGGCTGCTGGCTTCGCCGGCGCCGGGGCGGGCGGAGCCACGGCAACCGCCCTAATGACAGGCAGAACATTCCTCCGCCTCGGTATCATCACCGCTGCTGCCATCCGCCTCGGGAGCAGCGACGACTGGAAAGACGAAGGGTAGCAAGACGCATTGAGCGCGAAAGCCATTTCTCTAGCTGACTGAGAAACCTTCTTGTGTATTGGAGATTTATTGTTTGTGAACGATGCATGAGTTGCGCGTCTGCACGCCTTTATAGTATCGGAAATAGTAAACTTAGATGCAGCACCTGTCCAGGCTGCACCTTGCGCAGGTATGTGTGCATCCTCTAATCTACCCCTCTCCCATTTCAATAATCCTAAGGCCTCCTTTGATCCATAGGATAGAAATTTTATAGGAATAAAAAAATTATACGAAGTGAGATGATATGCATCTCAATTCCTATAAAGAAAAAGATGTCATTTGGTGCATAGAATATGAATTTTTTCATTAAATCTAGGCTAACATTTTTTTTACTTCAAAATATGAAATATTGATTCCTATCCTACATAAGAATAGGGATTCATTCCTATAAGAGAGTGGTTTTTCTATACCCACCCTTGGTGCACTCCAATGTTTGTTTATGATCGTTTTTACAAAGTTTCGGATTTTTTCGAAATGTTGAGATAGAACTTTCAGCACCCGGGTGCCCCTACACCCTCTATGAACAGTAAATTCAAAACAAATTAAAAAAAATAAGAAAAATCTAAAACTTTGGGACATCGAACATCATGAAACTTTTGATGATCTTGCAAAGTTTTAGCTAAAAATAACATTCGAGGAGCACTCAAATAAAAAAACAAAATCATTGTTCAAAATTTATGTACATTTTTGAGCAGTGATTTTGTTTTTTTGGTGAGGGCTCCACGAAGGTTATTTGTTGCTGAAACTTTGCAGGAACATCAAACCTTTGATAATCTTTGATCCCTGAAAGTTTCAGATTCTTTTTGATTTTTTCCAATTTTATATGAATTTACTGTTCATGAGGGTGTATGGGCACCCGGGAGCTGTTAGGCATTTCTCTTTGGTATGTTTTCTTGCGTGGGCATACCAACACATCTCGAAAAAATCTAAAACTTTGTGAGAATGATCATCAACAAATGTTAGAGAGACTTGCCAATTTTTATGGTCAAATGACATCCGAAGAGCTCTATACAAAAAAAAAGACAAAATTACTGAAAATTTCTCAAAATGTACATGCGCTCTTTGATCAAAATTTGTAAATTTGTTTTTTTGTATTTTCCTCGAATGTCGTTTGATGACCAAACTTCGCAAGCCTCTCTAACGTTTGTTTATGATCGTTTCTACAAAGTTTTAGATTTTTTCAAAATGTTTTGACATGTTTTTTTGCATGGGTGCACCGTGTGGATGCACCGAGAGAGGGTTCAGCCACTACTTTCCCTTCCTATAAACCAAAGAGATTCAAAGGAATATTTCCTTTGCAAATCCTATTCTATAGAGTTCCTACAAACCAAATGAGGCTTAAATGTACGATTAACCTATGTAAGTTTTAACCCCCTCCCCTCCCCTTCTCCAAATTTCATTGGGGTGAGACCCGCTAATCATAAATCAACTGATCGATTTGCTCAACATCAGCTCACTGTCGATCCTGAACCAACTGATTTGCTCCACATCAGCCCGTATGATGTATCACGTAAAAAATGATTGTAACTCTACCGTTGCTCCTTGATTTCAGGTGTGGGGCCTGGTGCTTCTCAATCAATTCATGTCAAGTCATTCGTTAAACCACAGTCCTAAAGGATTTGCCTGTAACACGGAGGAACCCAGCTATATCTTGGACGCTAGACCTAGGTCTGGGTCCTTACGGATAGAAACTTACGCTTTGGCGTGGGAACCCTCTACAACAAGAAAAGCAATTCTCTCATGCACGGGAGGTACCGTGCATAGGAGAGCCGCTGATTTTTCTTGAAGATCTGATGCCATGTATTGATGGTTTAATGCTGCTGATACTTGCTACATCTTTCTCTGACACATGAAAGCACATTGTCCCGGCTAGTCTTCACCATCCACTACAGGAATCAGGAACTTTGCCGTCAGCCATGGCGGACGGCAAAGACACACATGCCGGACGGCAAAGACCTTTGCAGTCAGCCAGCTGACAGCAACACGTTCGGCTAAACAGGCTACGGCAAAGGCTTCTTTGCCGTTTGCTGGCGGACGGCAAAGATACAAAGGTCTTTGTCATCCGCCAGCTGACGGCAAAGAGCTTGGACGGCACATGTGTCAGCTTAGGTCCCGTTAATGGGTTAATGACGTGCATTGCCGTCGGTTGTCGGACGGCAAAGACCTTTGTATCTTTGCTGTCAGCCAGCGGATGGCAAAGACCTTTGTATCTTTGCCGTCAGCCAACGGATGGCAAATAGCATTGAATCATTGCCGTCGGCCAGCGGACGGTCAAGCGTGCCACGTGGCAGCACCTAGGGGTCTGGCCTATTTGGTAGCTTTGCCGTCAGCTGGCTGATGGCAAATATTAAACGTTCTTTGCAGTCTGCTGGCGGACGACAAAGCAACAAAATAGGCAGCCTACTGCCCCAGGTTGCACAGGTAGCTGACACGTGGCATGTTTGCCGTCCGCTAGCTGATGGCAAAGCTCTTTGCCGTCCGCCAACAGACGACAAAGAGTCTATATAGCCCCTGTTTTTTCTTGAAATCATTCAATTTGACAGAATTTCACACACACACACACACATATATATACACACACATATGAAAATACTCTTGACAAGCATACCAACACATATGCATATCAAATCATATCCCCGCCATATGGATATAATCATCCAACACATATACATAGCAAATGGTTTCACCCAACACATATACATAGCCAACATATCCAACAACAAGCATACAATGGTTCCATCCATACATACATATATAGGTAGCAAGTTTGACATTGTTCATCGTAGAAAATCAAAACAATAAGGAAGCATAAAAGAGAACAGTAGACTCCATGATTGCAAGCTTCCTCATCTAAAGCAAATCTGCAAATTGGGAAAGAAGCAAGTTAGAAGAAGAAGACTATCTAGAAAAAGAAGAAGAAGAAGAAGAGGAAGAAAAGGAAGAAGAAGAAGAAGATTTTTTCTTCTCTTTCTTTTTCTCCTCTCCTCTATTTTATCTTCTTCTTCTAACTAAGGTAGGTAAAAATGCCATTTTATTGCTAAGTTAGGTAAAAATGCTATGTGTACACTAGTAGAAAAAGGGCCATTTGTCCCGGTTCATAAGGGCCTTTAGTCCTGGTTCTAGAACCGGGACTAAAGGGTCGTTACTAAAGGCCCCCCTAGTCCCGGTTCTTATACGAACCGGGACTAAAGGCCCTCCACGTGGTCGTTGCATGGAGGTCAACCTTTAGCCCCAGTTGGTGCCACCAACCGGTACTAAAGGAAATTTTATGATTTTTTTTGATTTTTTTTGAAATTTTGATTTTGAAAATTTTCCCCGAATTTTCAATTTTTTGAATTATTTTAACCTCTAATATCTAATCAGCCCTCATCACTGCTCAATTTAACCTCTAATCTCTAATCACCCCTCATCATTCTAAATCATCTAACTTTCCGAACGGTCACCCATCCTCTCACTACCCTAGCCTGAGCACGCTTAACTTCCGGGTTCTATTTTCCCTCGTTTCCAAGTCTGCACTTGTTGTTTTCCTGACAATAGTAAGATGTCAATCCTATTAACCCTCAGGAGTTTAGCTTGAGCATGAAGTCACACATTTCACTGTTTGAGTTTGAAACTATTGTTCTAAGAAACAATAATTATTTAGTAACACTAATATTTCTTGAATTAGTAGTTTGACCACAATTTGACCAGAATTAAAAAAATGAAATAATTATTTAGTAACACTAATACTTCTTGAATAAGTAGTTTGACCAGATTTAACGAAAATTCAAAAAAACCCTGAAATTTGAGCATAACTTTTTTTCCTTTTAGAATTTTAGGATTCTAAAAATTTGCAAATAGGTCGTAGGCGGTCAAAACTGGATGCGGATTTCCGCACTGAACATTTTGATATATTATACGTTTTTTTCTGACATTGTTTGCAAAAGTTATAGCCGTTTTACATTTTCCCTACACTTTTTGCAAAACATGTCCAAATTTAAGTTTTTAAATTTTCCTAACTAGTAGATGTAGTAACATAACTACATCTCGAAGGATTTTAACTTTTGAAGTTTTTATCATTTTATTTTGCTTTTTACAAAACTGAAAAGGCGATACAGGGGGGGTAAGATTTGGAAATTGCACCATTAGTACCGGTTCGTGGACCTTTAGTACCGGTTGGTGCCACGAACCGGTACTAATGCCTCAACCCCATTAGTACCGGTTCGTGGCACGAACCGGTACTAAAGGTTCGTGCCACGAACCAGTACTAATGGGCATCGCACCATTTAGTCTCGGTTCATGGCACCAACCGAGACTAAAGGTCCCATTTGAACCGGGAGTAATGGCTGTACAATGCCCTAGCCGCTCGAACCGGGACTAATGTTCACATTAGTCCTGGTTCATAATGCAACCGGTACTAATGCTCTTTTCTGGCCGAACCGAAGCCCCTTTTTCTACTAGTGGTAGGTCATTTTAGATCTAAGCTAGGTAAATAGGTCATTTTGGAGCTTACTAAGGTTATTATGTCATTTTCGAGGAAAGTAAGGTAAGTCTATATCATTTTGGAGGTAACAAAGATTATCATGACATTTTTGAGGAAAGAAAGCTAAGTATAGCTCATTTTTTTGTCTAACTTAGGTAGTTATGCCATTTAGGAGGAAAGTAAGCTAAGTATGAATTTGTTAAGAAAAACACTAGAGAAAACTTACCCTCATCACAACAAATGCGATGAAGATTGCAACTAAGGTAAAGATTGATCCAACGACAGAATGATACCAAGCCTCATTATCAATGGCAATTTTCTAATTTTCTTAAGCTTCAGGCGCATTGCATCCATCTTCAAGCGCATTGCATTCATCTTCATCTTATGATCATCGACGACATCGGCAACATACAAATCCAATGTAATCTTCTCTTCTTCAATTCTTCTAATTTTTTCTTTCAAATACTCATTTTATTTTTCAACTAAATTTAACTTCTCGATAAGAGGGTCGGTTTCAAATTCCGG